GTAGGGAAAAAAAAGAGAGGAAAGGGAGCATTTAGCTTCACGTGAAGATCTGACTGGCTTTGTACATACATACATACATGATACATACAATGCCCAAGTGTGGTACATGCATGCGTGTATGTATGTCTTTTAGTTCATGGTATGATAGCTTTACAATTTCATGTGTTGGTGAATAAATATATAAGAAAACTATATAATTAAATCTCTCAAATGTTTTTATAACTTGTAGGCTTAGTTATAATATATATATATATATATATATATATGTATTTGTGTGTGTGTGTGTGATATTAAAATCTCTCAAATGTTTTTACAACTAAGATTTGGAGTGTGACATAAAAGATTCATAGAATCAAGGGAGACATACTTTAGAGTCTTGTCTTTTTATTATTATTATTATTATTATTATTATTATTATTATTATTATTATTTTTTTATAACATTGGGGAACCCGTGACTACCTACCCTTACAAACGGAGACGAACTGGCCACCACCCGCGCCTAACATTCCCCATGGACCTCAGTCCGCCGGACCTGGTCACCAGGCGCGCCTAACGCTCGGGCCGTAGTTGGGCTTAGGCGCCTGCGGGTCAAACCCCAAACCCACGACGCACGAGCCTGCGACACACGCGTGGGATGTAAATCAGCCCGTTATGACAGGCTGGCAGGCGAGCATGTCAGATGGAAGAAGGAGCGGCAGGAGGATTCGATCCCTCCACCTCAAGGAGTTGCCCCCCTGCCTTCTGTCACTTGACCTGGCCCCGAAGGGCTATTATTATTATTACTATTGCAAAGGAAACGATAAATATTATTATGGTGCTCACAAAAAGGTAAGACCACCCGCTTAAACATATCCTTTGTTTTCCATTTTTCAACATGGAATATATTTTTATCCACAACTATTCTATCTATATTAAAGAGTCCAATATATATATAGAACATTTTTATAATATATCTAAAAATATATATTTGTTATTATATCTTAGTAAAATGATTTTCTAGATCCGTTACTAATTATATAAAATTATGAAATGATAAACGTATTTAGGAAAAAAAAGTCTAAGATAAAAATTTTAAAACGAATTGTTTTTCTAATATAAAAAAAACCGTAACTTTATACGGTCACAAAATTCATAGAGTGTATTTTATTTGTTTATAGTTTTTTTTTTAATATTAAGCAAAGTGATGATTTGTTAGTGCTTTTCTGGACCATACTATAGAGGCAAATGATAATTTTTTTTTTCCATTCACCAATGCGAAAGTGTAATGCCCCACCAGACCACATCGCACTGTTTCCCCCCAATGCATACGTTAAGACTTTTTTTTTATATTCTATATATTTTCTTTTGTTTGTGCCTTTTTGTTCTATTCTTTTCAATATATATATATATATATATATATATATATATAACTGTCGATCGTTCATTTATTTTATTTTATTACGATGTTTCTAATCGAAAATTAAATTATATATGTGCGCGTGTTCTCTAGAGGTTTCAAATCCATTTCAATGAAACAAACATTGTAAGATAATGATGAGGTACTTTACTACGACTCCATCGATTTTTTTTTCAACCAAGAAGCTCTTTGAACAGAGTCTCATATCATTTTTTTAATTTATAAATATTAGAATATTCATCTTGAACTTGGAAATATTCCTCTATACATGTATGAGATTTTTTTTTTTTTACAATTTCAATTGCACAATATATATTTTTCACTCCCTTGAAATGTTTTTCTGAACCTTGGATAGGGAATTGTAATTTCGGGAGTAAAAAATCTAATAAAAATTAAAAAAAAATGTGATATTGGAATTGGGGGGTGGGAACTTGGAAGTGTCATCTTCATGAAATCTTTGTGAGATATCATGTCGTCGTGGAGAGTCATTTTCATTACAAGGAGTGAAAAAAATAACGGCCGGTAGTTGGAGGTGCATTGCGTGTAACATGTCATGTTCTTTGCTTATTTATATATATATTTTTTTGGTGGTTTGTTTCATTTCATATTAAAAATAAATAAAAATACATATATAGAGAGATTTTAAAGTTTGTGGATAATCGTCCAATGATTGTTTCTAAATCATTTTCAGAAAATGTTGGACTTTTGCTTCAAGAATGGCTCCTTCACTCTTCTACATTTGGAAATGCATCTCAACCATGTTTCCGACAATGGGAGATATTCAAGTGCGTTTTGATTGGTTATTTTTTTTTATAGAAAATATTTTATTTCAATTATTTTAATTATTCGGTTTGAATATTTTTTTTAATACACAAAAACTCTAAAACAAACCAATCACAACATAAACGACCACCACTATTTTTACACACAATAAGAGACGACAAAATCTTCAAGCCCAAGTTATGCCATTAAGATATGAAAATAGTTTACCATCTAAAACATTTTAAAAAAATTGTTATTCGCAACGGACAATGGCGGCAAATGAGCACTAATATGGCATAGTGAGCATCATAACAGCAAACAAGACTTGCATGATAATCGACAGACAGCAGCAAAAACAAAAAAAAAGGCAGAGATAATGAAAAGCAAAAGCTACTTAGGTTCCGGAATTAAAACAAGACAAGACCCAGAAGAGAAAAAAGACATGGGAACACACAGGGTTATGGAGAAATAGATGAACAGAGAAGAAAAAAAAAGATACCAGATGATGACAGTACCTGGAGATTGAAAAAAAAAAACAGAACTACTATACTACCCCGAGACCGAAAAAAAAACCCATATAAATAAACGGAGTCCTGTATATTCCCCTAACAAAAAAACTGAACAAAAACAGAGGCTACAATGTTTGGATTCTGATGGGGGGGAAAAAAAAATCTGAGAAGACACTTTCCCGGAAATTACCTTCCGGAGAGAGAGAATGTTGTCGAACCACAAGATTATTCCAGGTTTTTTTTTTTTTTTTTTTTTTTTTTTTTTTTTTTTTGTTTGCTGATGGAAGAGATTCAAAGGTGCGAGGAATCCTCCCTATGCCCCATATGGTTTTCTTCTGTTTGGTGACTGTGGAGCATCTTCAGGGCAAACCACCTATATATGTTGAAATGGTCACAGAGACAGAAAAGTGAACTCATCAATCATCATCAATGTCAGAATCTTCAGCGGTTTGTCGAATCGAGCTATGAAATCCATCAACGAAACGAAGAGGAAAAAACCCGAAACATTCTATAGAGAATGTAAGGTGATATAATGAGTAGGATCTACTGAGAGTTTTATTTCTTAAGATATGGGAATCTCAGGCACAAACATTTATTTACCTTGAAGAACTCAGAATGGAGACTCAAGGGACTCATCCCAGACTTCTGCACTTCCATTGGATGCATCTTCAACATCTTCCTCCATTGAAAGCCTGATGTATTCTCTATGGGCAAACCGGTCCCATTCTGTCAATGTCGGGTTTTCTCGCTCCTGTTTCCCGTTTAACATTTCGAATGAGTAACATTTTCTTTTTAAAGATGTTATATCGTCACGATGAGATGAATCATCATCGTATATAGGTACCTGACGGATGAGAAATGGATCACGTGTCTCGAAGGCCATGAATTTGTTTAGATTGAAAAGGATGTTGAAGACGCTTCCAGAGAGTTTGGAACCCTTCATGTCGTGCAGCGTGATATAGCTCTCATTCTGTGGAAGAAGGAAGCTAAGGTACGATCAAAACATAGGCAATGCGGTTGTAAAAGCTGTCTACACTATCGTTGAAGCAAAACACGGATCGATAAAGTAAAAACGAGAAGAGGGTATGTGATGGTTATTAGGTTAATCACTTAACAAAAACTTTCCTTTAAAATAAGAGATTGAATAATTTTATCGTCAAGATGAAATAAGACAAGCAGTCAAACCTCTGGTCCAACCATGTCAATTATTTGGCATAAGATATCATCGAAAAAGACAGGCTCTTGCGCCATGCATTCCATTCGATGCAACTGCTCTTCGTAAAAAAACTGCATCTCATTTCGGGTGAGAACCCCATTACCATCCAAATCTATGCACTTGAACCTAGCACAAGATACACTAATGTCAGATGAAAACACTCGACATGATATGAGTGGATCTCATAGCTTTGGATCCCGAAAAAAAGCTTACCAATACTCTAGGCTAGGCTCCGACGATTTATCTTCTTCTGCAAGAATGAAATAGACAAAGTCCTCGTACCCCATCTTTCCGTCAACTTTGCTGGTAAACTTCCTGGCAACCTGATTAGAAATCAATGCGTTATCCACGATGAAACCCTTCTCATAGGAACTATTAACTCAGGAACTAGAAAAGGAAACAGAAACAGAATCTTGAAACGGAAACATGCATCAAATAATATCTTCATATAGCAGGCACCAAAAAAAGGGCTAAATGATCAAGACCAAACCTGGGAGAATATTCTGTCAACAATACGGAAAGTAAGAGAATGGTTTCCATATCTGATAAGGTTTTCTTTGTCTATCAAGAAATCATGATCTGTATCCAGCTCCCAGAACTTGCAGTATATGACATAGAAATGCTCATAAGAGAAGTACCTAGATTACCAAGAAAACAAGAAAGGGATTAATTAAAATAATTACCATTACAAGGCGAAACAAAGCTATTATTTTGCTGACCCATGCAACTAAAAGCCTGATTCAATATTTATCGCAAAAAGGACTCCTTCAATCACTACCTCAACACTTTGTTGATGTCTTCTTCTTCGTCAGCATGTAGCATTGCATCAATTAAATTTCCTCGTTTCAGCTCCCTCAGTGTAAGCCGCCCATTTCCGGATCTATTTATGTAGTAATATATTCTGTAGGTTACAGTTTCAGCTGGCCCATCAAAACAAAAATCGTATCAAATAACTCCATTATTGAAAGAAAAATTTGACACAAACCATCTTCAACAGAAGCAACGATAACAAAACAATGTAGACTCCATGTATAGCAATGCTCACACAACACTTGCTTTGGACCAATACAAATAAATACAAGCATTGCATGACCAATCAACACATGAATCCCATAGCCACTTCCAACAAAGCAGGGAATGGTAAGACAGACAAACAAAAGTAATTGCAGCCAGTCACAGGTTCACCTTTTACATAGCAGGGATGCCAAATTTCTATTACGTTAAAACAAGCACGATCCTGTTAACAATCATACTAGAGCCATGTAATGTGAAAAAATTTATCAAGTCCTTTGGATGGCAGATGAGTCATTCCATGCCTGTCAACTCTTATGTACAATACAACTTACAAGAAGATAGCTCATGGAACAACTAAATTAAGGTTACAAACTGTATGGCAATGCTTCTGAAATTTTTGCAACGTCCTATTCGTGTGGAATACCATAGTACCATCTATATGCATCCATAATGAAGAATATATTCCTCATCTTTTAATGTAGTCAGATATTGCACACAACGGACTCATAGTTCTTCCAAGAAAGCACAGTACTAGTTCTGAATTGTTCCACCATTTACTTCAAAGAATAAATATACGATCAAACTCCCGCTAAATCTCCAGAACTCTAAACACCACAACAAATGGAGAACCCGTAGAGGCGAAAGCAAACAGCAAGTGGGTCTAGAATGAGAAACTGACTAAAATGTTAATAACAACTCACCATATCTTTCCTGGAATTCAGGAGTGCTTTGCAGGAACTCCAAGCCAGGATGAGTTACCAATAGTTCTTTAAGAATTGGCTTGAAATCATCCTGCATGAAAAAAAAATAAAAGTGTTGGCAAGCTATACTGCAAACGGAATAGAAATGAGATTGGGAAAAGAAAGTCAGTATTGCGTCAGAATATGCCAATCAACAGAAAACTACCTTGACAAGGTAATTTTGATTTGGCTGCTTTAGTATCTTGAATATTTGGGTTGTCATATCCAATATCAACATGTTTCCATTTATCCAATAGTCAATAAATGCTTCTCTGCATGAAGTCAAAATAAATTAAGCACCAAAGGAATTTTCTAATAATTCCTTCGATATCATGATCAGAAAACTTGAGAAAGAATACAAAAAGATCAACAATCTCGGAGTATGCTGCAAAAGATGTGAACATCAGATCTTGCTGTGTTAGAAGCATAGGAGCACACACCTAGTAACAAATCCTGTATTATTGAAATCGATCTTCCTGAATAGTGGTGTGGAGAAGAAAGATGGAAGCTTGCATATTTCTCTGGTGACTAGTTTGAATTCTGTCGAATGACAAAAAGAAAGTCGATAAGTCAGCCATACAAAACATCATTTAAGAAGAACTTTCATATATTGAACTCACCTTGCATCTGCAGTCCATCCATGTGACCAGAGAAAAAGTAATTGATTCTGGTTAAACATTGCTCTTTAATCTCACTTGGAGGCGGACGACCATTTTGAAAATAAAACTGCAAGCATTTTAATGTCCATCATCAATTACTTATTAGAGCCCATGCAGAACAACGTGGCGTACACAAAAGTAAAAAATTGCAGTCATAAATACTCGCAGCTGCACAAAAAGTACAAAACCTGAGGTATAAGCTCTTTGACAGGCTCGCTGACTACTTTCAGCGGCGAGCCTAAATTAGAAGGCACAGCCCTCTGTTTCGTCATTCGCGGTGAACCTGTTGAACTCCTAGGTGAAAGCGGAGGAGCACTTCCCGCTGGAAACATGGATGGTAAAGAATTGCTGGTGCCAGAATTTGTACTTCCAGAAACATTCAGAGGACCTCCAGCTTTTGCATCATTTAGCAGTGATTTAACCTAAAAGACAGATAAAAGGAAAGAATATGGACCGATAATTCTGGGGGGATGACTAAAACTACAACAACGCATTCTGGGGTAAGCAAGCATGCAGAAGACAACTTTCTTTGTGCTCATAGCTCAGTTCTAGGGGGACTAAATGGAAAGACCCTTATTACACCACTATCTAATTTATCATGTGTTACGCACCAACTAAAAAGACTAGCCGCATCTCAATCTTTTACGGCATATTTCCAGATAATTATGGACATAAACAAGAAGGTTTCAAGATATTGCACTTTCGTGGCTGTTAATCAACGCCACTGTCAAGACTCAATAATCTCTTTCTTGCTTTTATCAAACTTAAACTGATAATGCATGAAAGATTTAACGGAATCCATACTCTATAAATAAATTCCAAAAGCAATAGCCACCTGAGTTATTATCTGGCCAGTTCCAGCGACCTAAACATTATCCCCAATGGTCCCCATAAATTTGCAAAACCATCGATCAAAAACAATTTTGCAACCCAAGCCACCTACTACCTACCACCATTTCTAGCAGCACGAAAGCAATACACTTCTTACTCAACTCTATGATACTGTCAATGACGTTGCCATTCGGGGCAAAACCCTATGATTACAGTTTCCTCTTTAGAATTTATGGGAAGATTCCAGCAATACTTAATAATGCACTTCAGCTGGAATTTTCATGGAAACTACTTGAACATGATCATTCTTTCACTTATCTAACCCGGGTATGAGGCTATGTGCACGTCCATTTAACTTCATATCATCTCTGTTACCAGATTCCACATAATATATACAGGATTCGAAATGGAAGAAAATCTTGTATCATATATCCAGAAATATATTTTACCTTAAAACCCTACACTCGAGAGTAACACTGACGCTGAACGAAAAGACAACCAGAGAGCAAGAAATTCGAACCCAATACCTGCCGATGAGCTTCTGGGAGCGAAAGCCACTGCTCGAAGAGCTTCTGCGAGAATTCGGGATTCGATTTCAGCGCGTAGGGAGAGATTTCCGGCAGCTGCAACAAATCCGCATCGAGACAAGCCATGTCTCCGGAAACATCAACATCCTCCATACTCATTTTCACGCAGTCCAATCACATCAATATCAATGAACTAACCCTGAGTACCACGGAAAAGGAAGGACGATTTTGTGGATAACAAGGGACGGGAAATCGAGCAAAAAGGAATTATATAAAAAAAAAATCGAGACAGGAGAAGTATGAGAAAACCCTAGATCTTCGAGAAATGAAAGAATCAGTCTCCAAATTTTCAACTCTGATTCAGGAGGGGGCGTCAAAGTGATTGGGGAGCGAGAAAGTGAGGGAAAATGTATCAATTTTCTCTCCTTTTTAATCCTAAAAAAATGGCCGAATGGAAGAATACCGATGAAAACAAACACCTCGTTTAAAAGAGAGCGTCTGGGCAATGGTTTGCAGCTAACTATGGAATGAAACTTCTGTTAAAAAAACAGATTAAATAATTAGGTTATATAATACATAAAAATATATTTTTTTAGAAAAAATTATATTCTTACATCATCTTACAATAAAATTCCTAATATGTAATTTCCTTTTCAGTATTTAACAATGAAATATTAATCATACCAAATTAACGTTAATTACTTCCATATATATGTATATCGCAAGATTATCATTTCAATTCAAATTATTAAATATATTTATTTTAAAATTTTCGTTCGGCTACTTTATTCATATTGGATTAGATCGAAATTAATTTTTTCTGGTTTTAATAAAATTATGTTATATAAATTTTATATCAAATTCTGTTCGAATACAATTGTTATTTTATTCCGATGGATTCGGCGCTGTTAAATCAAAACCGAAATTGCCAAGACACCCTCGAAAATGAGAAATACTATTTCGAAACTTTCCGGGAAAACATTTTCCATGAAAATCCAGGCGCGTGGAGACATTTTCCTCTGAAAATGTGGGCTTTCCCCCTCTCTTTCTACGGCTGAAAACCTCCGACCCACAGTTCAAATTCTGACGGACTCATTCCCCATTAGGAACCTCTTCAGCTGCTTGGATCATAAACCCTAATCATAAGAAAGATCAGCAAGGAAAGCTTCTCAGGGACAGGATTCAAAAAGCAACGAACGCATGAACAGAGGAAAACCCAGTTGCCATTTTTTGGATATAAAGACACCCATATGCTCAAAATCTTCCCACTGGATCATGCAGATCGAGAAAAATACAGGGAATCATCATTGTATCCGTTCGAGAATGACGATGATTAGAAGGGTTTCTCGATTTGAGAGGCACACCAACCTGTCGAGGCTCGGGCAGGGATGGAGTTGACGAGATTTTGCAAGCTGGGGCATTCTCTTCTCCTCCTCACCGTATTTCATTTCACAAGATACGTATATACAAAGTCGAATGATCAAGTGTACTATGGCTTGTGATTCAAGCTAGGGTTTTGTGAACTTTGAATGGGGAAACGTACCTTAAGATGCAAATCCCTTTCTTCCTTTTCCTGGTTTAAGGGGATCCACCAGATTCTTGGCCCTGGATAGTTGATATAAAAGTTACACAACAATAAAGACTAGTTTTTTTTTTCATGAAAGGAAAGCTTCTCCGCGTTTTACAGGCGGCAGTTGTATGTATCAGGTGAAATCTATCAACAACCTATTATCTATGAGAGAGTACGGTTCAACTGTTTCTATATTTGGGCTAAAATGGCATGGAACTTGCAATGAGTCGTAGCAAAAAACTCATCTCCTTCCTATTCCCTCTTTAACTTGACTTTCCTAACCATAAGCTAGATTTAGGCCTTGTTCCTTAGTTGTTTGGGCTGAGTTTTCGGGTTATTTTCCTCTCCATATGTTTGCAGCTACATCAGTTTCTCTTTCTGACAAAACACCGAAAAATGAGAAAAACCCAGTAACCGCATTGCGAAGAACCGAACTCGGAAACATCAAAAGAAGACAAGAAACGAGAACGTACTTTGGCATTCTGCAGGGTTTTTGCATCTTTGTTTACCCAGGCAAGTGCAGTCCTCGGTTTCCATGGATTTGATTATCAGACGTGATTAGGTCATAGAAAAAGAAGAAAACAACGTCCAGATGCTTGCAGGTAACTCAGACGAGCGCGTATAGGAAAACCCTCCCGGATCTCGTTTCTTGCAAGAGAAGTAAGTTTTTCTCGTTTTCCTGTACGCCAGAGTTCTACACGTATATACGTCAGCCATGAACAAGAAAACTCGGATTCTGTTTTCCCTCTTATGCTTCTCGGTTCTCCTGGTTTCTCCGATTAGATCAGTCAGCAAGAAAGTGGCTCTAAGCTGTGGTGCATCAGAACCGGCGGCCGATTCAGACGAGAGAAAATGCATGGGAGCCGGATGGAAAGTTTCTCAAATCAGGAAACTTGATTCAAACAACCGCTTCGTATCAAGACCCTTCACTTCTCTCGACAGTTCCTTACATGACAGCTAGAATATTTACATCTCCAGCAACATACGAAATCCCGGTTAAAGGGGACAAACGACATTACCTCCGGTTCCACTTCTACCCTTCAACGTACACTGGCCTCGAATCTCCAACTCATACTTCTCTGTGGCAGCCAATGATGTTACACTTCTGAGCAATTTCAGCGCAGCTATCACGTGTCAGGCACTGACACAGGCTTACCTGGTTAGAGAATATTCTATTGCGCCTACGAGATGTTTTGAGCATCACATTTACACCATCGGACAAGTACCAAAAGACGTTCGCCTTCATAAATGGCATTGAGGTCATCCAGATGCCAGAATTGTTCGACTCTGCAATTCTAGTCGGATTTTCTGACCAGACAGCCGATGCTAAAACCGCTAATCTTCAGACAATGTTTAGACTTAATGTTGGTGGACAGGACATCCCCGGTAGCCTAGACTCTGGTGGGTTAACGAGAACGTGGTACAATGATGCTCCTTACATCTTCAGCGCAGGCCTCGGTGTCACACTTCAAGCAAGTGACAAATTCAGGATAAATTACCAGAAAATGTCTGTGTCTACCGCTCCAGCCGATGTGTACAAGACAGCTAGATCTCAAGGCCCGATTGGAGATATCAACATCAAATCCAATCTCACATGGATGTTTCAGGTTGATGCGAAATTCACTTACATCCTGAGACTCCATTTTTGTGAATTCCAGCTTTCAAAGGTCAACCAGAAGGTTTTCAACATTTACATCAACAATAGAACTGCACAGACAGATCCCACTCCAGCGGATATAATTGCGTGGACAGGAGAGAAAGGTGTCCCGACATACAAAGATTATGCCATGTATGTCGATGCCAACAGCGGAGGGGAGGAGATCTCACTTCAGATGACTCCATCTGCGTTATCTAAACCAGAATATCTGGATTCCCAGCTCAATGGGTTAGAGATTTTTAAGATGGATTCCATGAAAAATCTTGCGGGTCCAAACCCGGAGCCATCATCAATGCAGGCTACCACAGTGACTCAAAACGAATTTCGGAATGACAAAAGATCTGCTTTCATTATCGGTTTAGCAGGAGGAGTTGCATCAGTTATAGGATTTGCATTGTGCTTCATGGAATATCAAAGGAAAAGAAGATTCCCGGAAAACGATTCACACGCCTCGAGCTGGCTTCCCATTTACGGGAACTCTCACACATCAGGAACCAAATCTACTATTTCGGGAAAGACCAACAATGGAAGCCACTTATCCAATCTTGCAACAGGCCTATGCCGACGATTCTCCTTATCCGAGATCAAACACGACACCCAAAACTTTGACGAGTCCAACGTTATTGGAGTCGGAGGGTTTGGTAAAGTCTACAACGGGGTTATAGATGGCAACACCAAAGTGGCGATCAAACGATCAAATCTGAATTCAGAACAAGGGATCAACGAGTTCGTGACAGAAATCGAACTTCTCTCGAGATTAAGGCACAAACACTTGGTGTCTCTGATTGGATACTGTGAAGACGGAGGCGAAATGTGTCTCATCTACGACTACATGGCTCTCGGGACACTTCGGGAGCACCTGTACAACACAAAGAAACCACAGTTATCTTGGAAACGAAGGCTTGAGATCGCTATTGGAGCAGCCAAAGGACTACATTACCTTCACACTGGGGCAAAGTACACTATTATACACCGAGACGTGAAGACAACTAACATCTTACTGGACGAGAACTGGGTCGCTAAGGATTCAGATTTTGGATTGTCCAAAACCGGACCAAACATGAACGGAGGACATGTCACGATCGTCGTCAAGGATAGTTTCGGGTACTTAGACCCAGAATACTTCAGACGACAACAATTGGCCGAGAAATCCGATGTTTACTCGTTCGGAATTGTTCTGTTCGAGATCCTATGCGCTCGACCAGCTCTAAACCCTAGTTTATCAAAAGAACAAGTTAGTCTCGCAGATTGGGCACTGAATTGCAAGAGAAAAGGGACTCTGGAAGACATAATCGATCCGAACCTGAAGGGCAAGATCAACCCATAATGTTTGAAGAAATTTGCAGACGCCGCGGAGAAATGTCTCTACGACAGCGGAGTAGAACGACCGACGATGGGCGATGTCTTATGGAACCTCGAATTCACGCTTCAGCTACAAGAAACAGTTGACAGTTCCCGCAACTGGACACCGAGCCAAGGCGGCGTCTCAGACGACTCCGGTGGCGGGGGAGCGGTGGCGGTCCACATCGCCGGCGGAGGCTCCGAAGCGAAGAGCATGATGTCAATGACGAGTCCTCCGATAACAACAGTGGAATCTTCTCTCATATTGTAAATCCAAAAGGGAGATAAAGGTAATTTAAAATCTGGACATATATATGTATATATATACTTTGTTTAATTTTAGCTGGGTGTTGGAAAAAATTGTTATTCGTTCTTTTCTTCTTTTTTTTTTTTAATTCGACAGGCAAAAAGACTTTGTAGCTAACTAGATTTTCATAAATTAATTTTGCCCGATGAATTATTGTTGCCTAATTAAAAAAAATATAAAATTGTTCCTATGTTTTTTTTTTGGTACGTTGTTCCTATGTTATATAGTATATATGTAATCTCGAAGAATATATTACATTGATTGTTATAACTCAGAAGCTGAAATAGACATTTCTTTCCCAATATTTTATTAGTTTACTATTTTATAGACATGAAAAATACAACTTACGAGTACTAGTATTAATGGAAACCATCTGATTATCCTTTAAAAAGCAAAGATTTCGACTGTAGAAGTTTTTTTTTTATAGAATGTAAAAATATCCAAATATTCCTCAAAATAATTTTTTTATATCCTTTTGACCATTTCAAAAAATTGGAAAAAAAAAACTATCTTACGATTATCATTTTTCCACTATAAAACTTGGACTGCATAGAATTTTTATAGTATCTAAAAAATCAAAATATCCTTTAAAATATTTTAACAACTCTGTCTATCTTTTTATTTTTTTTAATACTTTTAGTTATATCTATTTTGTCTATTTTTTTATCAAGAATCTTACCAATTCCCATGAAAAAAAAACTCTATTAATCTCTCTTTCTTCTCCATTTAAATCTCAATCTATTTTATTACCATAAATAAAATGCAACTATCCGAACCTAACAGCTTTGTGTCACTGTAAGATTGTCTTAGTTCACAGAAGCTGATAAGCTTTTGCTTCATTGCTCTGTTCTATGGATGTTAAACCCGGAAACTGCCCAATATCATGCCCTTCAAGACGCTGTAACTCTTCGTTTAAACCGATCGAAAATTCTTCGGGATTAGCTGCACCGTCCTGCAGAAAATCCGCAATCTGCAACAAAGAAAAACGAAGCAAAAGATCGGAAAAAATAAAACGCTCGGTTTATAACAGGGAAGAAGAACGCAACACCATGTCTTGAAAATGGAACTGCTCACATGATTTGCAAGGGCAATGCCGCTTAAGGCTGCTGATTCTAAGTTAGAACCGAGAAGCCAGTCACCGCAAATCCCTGCCCGCCCTTTTGGATCGAATATACATGGAGTTCCTGGAGCGTTTTTCGGAAGAG